ATCTTCTAGACATTTCTAAATCCAGTCAAGTTGACACATCATCATTAATGGTCAAAGGGAGAGAAGAACAGTTTTAGAGACAGGCATTGTAATTATAAAACTGAAAATTCAACAGACAGCTTAAACAGGTTAGAAGGAAGCAATTGCAGAAGGAGAAAACATGGAGAGGCAGCATGCAAAGGAATAATGCTCATAGTTCCTAGAAAGGCTGAAAGAAATGAATCCTTAAATTCAGAAAGCACAAATACCACACAGGATAAAAATAAATCCACACAAATGAAAGCAAAATACAGAGTACCACGGACAAAGAGAATATATCAACAGAATAACTAAAAATCTAGACAAAATAGATAATTTCTGGAAAAATGAAACTTTCCAAAATGATGGAAAGCAATGTTGAACACCTGGAAATACTCTTTGAAGTGTACAATTCAGCAGCCATTGGTACTTTCAGGTATAGTCACCACTTCGATCAGTACCAAAATATTTTCATCATGCAGTGATGAAGGAAGGAACCCCAGTGTCAATTAGGAAATCACACCCCATGCACCTTCCCATCCCCACCAATTACAACCATGAATCTCTTTCCATCAGCAGAATTCTCTGTTCTGGGTTTCACTTGTAAGTACAGACATAAAACATGTTCTTTTTTTGTATCTGGCTTCTGTCACTTCCCATGTTCTCAGCATTCACCCATTTGCTTCATTCCTGTTTATGGCTCAGGATACTCCACAGGACGGAGGGGTCACATGTTCATCCATTCATCTGTCCATGGACACTTCAATTGTTTCCACATTTGGGCTCTGAGGGATGGTGCCACTGTGAATATTTGTGTAAGTGTTTGTTTGAATACCAACTTTCAATTCCTTTGAGACCATCCTGCCAACGAGTAGTATTGCTGGGCCATACAGCAATTCTGCGCTTAACTTTGTGAGGAATAGTCAAACTGTTTCACGGTGGCCATCTCACTATACCTTCATACCCCACTGGGAATGGTGGTACATGGCTGTAATTCCAGTACCTGGGAGCTAGAGGCAGGAGGATCACAAACTCAAGGCCAGCCTGAGCAATTTAGTGATTTAGAGAGACTGTGTCTTAAAAAATAAAAAGGGGTGAGGATGTAGCTCAGTGTGAGATCCTGGGTTGAAACCTCGGTGCCACAGAACAAAAGGAAAACATTCTTATCAGCAATGTCTAAGAGTTCCAGTTTCTCCACATCTTCACTAGTTACATTTTAATTTTTTAAAATTTAATTATACCCATTCTAGTGCATATAAAATGATATCTCGTTGTTTTTTATTGATGTTTTCCTAATGATTTAAGCCCTTTTTTTTCATGTGCTTGGTGGCTGTTCATGTTATCTTCTTTGGGAAATTATTCAGATTTTTACCTTGTGTATGTAGTAATGGGGATTGAATCCAGAGCCTTGCATTTAGTTACATCTGCAGATCTTCTTTTACATTTTATTTTGAGACAGGGTCTTTCTAAGGCACTAAGTTGCCCAGGCTGGGCTTGAACCTGTGCCTTTTATTTCAATCCTCCCAGAGTGCTGGGATAACAAGCATGCACTACCACATTGGGACTTGCCCATTGATTAAAATTACATTATTTTTATTGAGTTCTCAGTTTCTCTTGTACCTAAGACCTATGTTGAGATACAAGTTCATATACAAAATAGCTCTATTTAAAGAGTGAAAATCAGTAGGTTTTAGTGTATTCAGAAATATATGCAACCCTTAGTGCATTAATTTTAAAACATTTTCATCAGCTCAAACAAAACAAATTTCAACTTTTTAGCTATAGCCCACCTCTTACTACCCTTCCTAAGCAACTGCTAACCTATTTACTGTCTGTATAAATTTATTCTGAACTTTCATAGGAATAGAATTATATTGTATGTGGTCCCTCATCCCTATTTTTTCCCCAGTACCAGGAATTGTACTCAGGATCTAGAGCTTGTGAGGCAGGTACAGTGCCACTGAGCTAAATCCCTGGCCCCTTCACTAATTTTTTGACTTACAAAAATTTCAAGGTTCATTAACATTGTACCATGTATCTGTCCTTCATTCCTTTTGGGAACTGAATAATAGTCCATTGCATAGATATACTGCATTTTCAATCTATTCACCTGTTGATGAACATTTGAACTCTTCACTTTTGGGCTATTATGGAGAATGCTGCTATAGGCCGTCAGGTACAAGTTTTTTCATGAATGTATGATCTCATTTCATTTGGTTATATACCTAGGAATAAAATTTCTAAGTCATATAGTAACTTGGATCATTCAAGAAGTTATTTCTTCTAAAATGGCTGCAATTTGGCATTCCCACCCACAGTATATTTGGACTCCATTTTATATCTTTGCCAACAGTTACTACTGTCTGACTTACTTTAGTCATCTGAGTGTATATGTAAAATGGTGTGTTTCCTTGATGGACTATAGATGTCAAGCATCTTTTTGTGTGTTCACTGGCCATTTTTGTTCATTCTTTGGTGGAAATGTCTATTCAGATCCTTTGTCCATTTTTAAAATAGGAACTTGAAGAATTTTAAAACATCTAGTCTAAGCTGGATGCGGTGATACATGCCTGTAATCTCAGTACTCTGGAGGCTGAGGCAGAAGGATCACAAACTTGAATCCAGCCTGGGAACTTAGTAACTTAGCAAGACTGTCTCAAAATTAAATATTAAAAGAGGGCTGGGGATGTAGCTCAGTTTGAAGGCCCTTCATCAATCCCCATACTGGAAAAAAACCTATTTTAAATGTTTATCAGATACATGATTTTCAAGTATTTTCCAATTCTGTGGGGTTTTTTCCCTTTCTTGATGGAACCCTTGAGGCACAGAAGCGTTACAACTTGATGAACTGAGCTTTATCTCTTTTTTTTTTTGTACTTTGGGGGTTCTATCCAAGAATTCTTTGCCAAATCCAAGGTCATGACGATTTAGCTCTGTCTTAAGAGTTGTGTAGTTTTGGTCCTACACACAGGCATATAGGTCTGACCCATTTTGAGTTAACCTTCATATGTAATGCCAGGCAAAGGTCGAACTTCATTCTTTCACACATAACCAGTTACCATAGCACTGCTGGTTGAAAAGATTTCTTTCCCCTTGAATGGACTTGGCACCCTTGCTGAAAATCAGCTGAGCATAGATAAGAGGGTTACTTCTAGATTCGTAATCTTTTCACTCTGGTTCTCTGCCAGTATCACACTCCATCACTTTTCTATGCCAACTTGAAATCAGGAAATTTGAGTCTTTCCATTTTCAACAAAAATTCACTAGGAAAGAATGCAAGGGGGAAAACCATGGAGAGGTTTAATGTCACAAGGAACAGTCTGCAAAGGGAAGGCCTGGTTTATGGAAAAGTTCTATCTAGTAAACAGCAAGCAAGCATAATCTAATGCTCAGTCCTGACTGGTTGAGGGCCAGGTCCTGGTAGTGAGGTAGGGCTCTCTGTAGGCTGTTCATCCTGGCAGTTGAAACAGGAACATCCCTGAACAAGTCCCACAAAGGCTGTCCTCGATTCTGCAATTCTCCTGCCTCAGCCTCCTGAATAACTGGGATTTCAGGCATGTGCCTCCACACTTGGCCCATTACATGTGTATTTAACAGTGTCTTAATAGTGTCTCACACATTTCTCTTAAGGCTGTTCTCTTTTCATTCTTCCTCTCTTCTTTGGAGAGCAGGATAATCTCTCAATCTCCGCAAGTTGAAGTATTTATTTCTTCTGCCAACTCAGATCTAGATCCTCTCCAGTGCATTTTTTTGGTAATATTCTTTAACTTCATGAAGTTACATGCTGCCCTTGGGGCAAGAGGTGATGCTGGCAGCCTGCCCACCCTAGGTTCGTGTGTATGGTGAACAAAGAATTGCAATTGTACACCCAATGGTAAAAGAAAAAAATATTTATTGATAACAGCAAAGTGCACTCAGGGCAGATCCATACCAACAGAAACAAAAAAGGTGGCACAAACAGAAAAGTGGTGTCAAGATGACAGGGAAATAGGAAGCACACAGAAAAATCAGGCTTTCAGATTTTAAAAGATGTGTGCCCCACCTCAGGTTCTTCTCATAGAGTCTCTGCATGAGACTGACAGTGCTGTTTCACCTTGGGGTACCAAAATATGCATGCCTGTCCCAGAACTCACTAAGTCACACACATGAGATACAGTCCATACACGTGAAACCCCAAGAAGGTTCTAGTGGGGGAAAGATTAATGAAGTTCAGGCCAGGAGATCTAACATTCATGTGCATTAGCCTGGAGACTTTGAGATTTTCTGGGCCTGTTATTTCTGTTCGGTTCTCTTAGGACAACAGAAGAACAATTGGCCTGGGTGTTGCCCAAATTCAGGTGGGTGGAGAGGGAGTGGCCTCCTGGTCCCAGTTATGCCACCTGTACTGTCCTCATGTTGCCATTTTGGAAGTGGAAATTTAAGGAACGTTTTGATGTTGTAGTTTAATTCTGTACTTCACCAAAGCAGAGTGGTATTAAAGAAGAAAAACTATATAATTTTATCAATAAATGCAGGAAAAGCATTTCATAAAATAAAGCACTGGATTCAAGACTAGAAGGCACATTTCCTTAACCTGACTAAGACCACGTACTAGAAAGTAACAGCTACTGCCTATTTAACATTAAAATTTGTAAGTTTATCTTCAATGTTAGGGCAGAAGACAAAGACACCAAATTTCATTTTCATTTTGGAAATATATAAAGTATAAGGATTGGAATGGAGGAACTCATTATTTGCAGCAACATGATTATAACATACACAATTTACAGGCTATTAGAATGAAAAGTTCAGCGAAGTTGCTAGAAAACTGAAGATCAATAAATTATTAGAGATAGACCCTTATAAGCTAGAATATGTGATTTTGTTTCATTTTGTTCTTTGAGTCAGGGTCTCACTATGTAGTTGAGACTGACCTGGAACTCACTATGCAGCCAGGTTGGTCTCGAAATCACAGCGATCCTCCTGCCTCACCCTCCCAAGTGCTGGGATTACAGGTGTGCACCACCATGCCTGGCTTTAGAAACTGTGATTTTTAAAAAGATATCATTTACGATGGCAACAAGAACTCTGGTGTCTTAAGGAACACATTTAAATTGTAATGACTTTGTTATAAAATGTAAGACATAATGGGATTTTTTAATAAAGCTGTATTAAAAGAAAATGGATCAATAGGACCTATTCATGAGAAACTCAATATGATATGCAATCCTGACAAACCTGCACATTCACTACAATCAAAGAAATAAAATCTAAATGTGACAAGATGATCCCAAATGGATTTGGAACAAAAATCCAAAGCCATTCTACCACTTATAATTACCAATTATTTAGCCACAATGATTTAAGCATTGGAAGGATGAACTGCCTGTTGTTTTTTTTGGTTTTTTTTTTTTCTCTTAAAATGCTAGGTAGGGCTGGGGATTTAGCTTAGTGGTGCCTCTGCCTGCCTCACAAGCCCAAAGACCTGAGTTCGAGCCCAGGTACCAAAGATGCTAGGGAAGAGAGCTACCTACACATAATTAACATGAGAATGTTTTCTTGATCTAAGAGGGAAGAGCTTTTTAAATAAGGAGACAAAATACGTAAAGGCTAAATTTACTATATTTAAATGTAGAAACTTCTGAGTGATAAACAACGCTAGGTAGATACATGGATGTCCTAGTGACTCCATATTTGTATATAAAAAGAGAAAGATCCCCAGCCAAACTAAAAATCTTCAAATACATAGGAATAAGCCTAATAAAAAGTGTAAGACCTTTATGAAGAAAGTTATTAAAATTTTATCCAGGAATAAAGGACTTAAATAAAATGAGGGCTATCATGATACAAATGGGGGAAATTATATTATGAAAATTCTATTATCCTCAATTAATGAATAAACCAGCACAGTCTCAGTTAAAAGAGCAACACAATTTTAGAACTTAATAAGCTGATTCTATACTGTTCGGAACAGAAAGCGCACAAGACACTGGAAGGGGAGCCGGCCACAGGTGGCTGAAAAAAGGACAAAACTAAGTGAGCCGCCAAGCATGGTGATGGAGACAAGAGGTCCACACCTGCCACCCAGAAACGGACACAGCATGTAAAGAGTGGATACTTGGAGTGAAGAACAGACTACTCAGTAATAGCTGGGACAAGTCCCTTTTCATCTGTGTCTGGAGGGAAAAACCCTGACAAAGAGATAAGCCAAAGAAAACGAGGTAGAAATGAATCAAACAAGCAAGTTACAGCAGAGATCTACGAAGAGCCAATAAACATGGGAATGTTTGGCTTTGCAAGTAATCAGAAAATTCAACTTAGAAGAAGGTTCTTTTCTATCACAAGACTGGTTTTAAAACAACCACATATAAAGACTAATACTACTTTCTGGTGGCAAAGGTGACAAAGATGGGTCCTTTAATGGACCGTGAAGTGGAAGAAACAACTACATCCATTACAATTCTAAAACTACGTCATCTGTAACCCAGCACTTTCATGAAGGCAGAGTTTTATTAGAGAAGTGAAAAGATGTCTTGCACAAAAGGAGAGTATAATCACATTAGTACAATAAGGCGAGTATAATGACATTAGTGTCAATTACCTAAAACCAGTCATAAAGAAGGTCCAAGAGACAGTGGCTTAAACAAGCCAGTAACTTATTTTACTCTGCAGCAACAGGTCAGAGAGCAGTCCAAGCCCGGCAGCCCTTCTCCTCCATCCTCCATTGCCACCATGCACTCTAACGCCAGGCACTGAAGCCTCAGCAGCACCCCAGCCAGTAGGCAGGGACCATCCAGTGTGGAGCACAGCCCAGTCCTTGTGTACAGCCCATGTGGAAGTGTGCCACTGCCCTGCTCGGGACTTTGCGGCATGGCCACCACTGGCAGGAAAGCTGACTTGCCATATATTCTCATCACCCCTTGCATATTCATGTAGCAACTAAGGAATTTTATAACTCTGAGAAAAGGTTTATATCTTTTATTCATACCGATATACACATTAAATATATTTACACTGCACCAAGCATTTAACATTGTAAAAGTCAGATTATCTAATGTTACGCTGTCTTGTCAAAACCACCTGCATAGAGCATCGTGGTCCCCTTCTGTCTGAGAGGACAGGACTGTGTTCATAGGTGTCCAGCCCGAGACACAGCCCATCCACAGCCAAGGTATGGGGGCACAGCTGGGGTGAAGACTACCTCACGATTACTGCTTGGAAACTTCCAACAGGTATTTTCAGTTGAAGAGAAGGCTATACCTTCTCTCTAGCTCAATATGATTTAGACTTCTGACACTACAGGTAGGAAGCCCTGAGAACAAAGGGACACAATTTTTCTACAGGCTAAGGATTATAAACATAAAAATAAATGGAGAGCTCCCCAGAAGCAAATCAACCATGCGTGCTGACCCCCGAGCCAAGTACTGAAGGTTAAGACTCACTGACCTTAGTAACCCTTCCCATGGCAAAGCGAAGAAAGTAATATAACCCCCGACACACGCGCACGCGCGCGCACATGTACCCCCACACGTACAGACACATATAAAAATGAACAAGGTGGAATTCTACTAATGGAAGCAGGAGATCCCACTGGCAACAGTGACTGCCACGGAAGGGTCCCTGGTCTGAGCTATCAATCAAAGTCGCAGCAGAGAGTGCAACCCATGTCAGGCAGTTAGGGCAACACAGAGCCTGTAGAGGTGCCTCTTCTGGACAGCAGGGAAAAGCAGATGGGACCGGACACGGCTGCCCACTGTAAGCATGAGCAAGGCATAAGCCAGGGCATGGTGGGAGGCGAGCAAACTACACACACAGAGAAATGGAAGGCAAAAAGCACAAGCCAGCAGAAACATCCAGGAGACAGCTGGCAGCAGGACAGCTACGGTGGAAATGTCAGGAGCACAATGGACTCAGGGTGACAAGACTTCAGACAAGGGATGACGTGCAACCAAGAGAAGGAAATGAGAAAAACAAGGCTGAGGGACAGGACTGAGGCTGCACCACCACAGAACAGTGAGCCATGAAGAGGCTCAAGTGAAAAGCAAGCCACCAGAGCAGGAGAGCAACACCACAAGGGAAGACACGGAGAGGTGACTGCAGACAGAGGGGCCACAGCTGAAGCGGCACTCAGGTGTGAAGGCACCAGCACTGCAGCAGGGGCACTCACACACGCAGTCCAAGTGCATGGGCCAGGTCAGACCCTGGCTGCGATCTGCAGGGACGTGTAGGCACGTATTGCTTTATGTACTTACTAGCAGTTCTGCATGGATTTTTCATTTAATTTGTAAAATACAGTAATACTTTCAACTTTCCCAAAATCAACAGTTACTGTGGTGGCGGTGGGGGGCACCTTTTGCTTAAAGGGCAGCCAGGATAAACTGAGTTCGTGACTATTAACAAGTTATTTCCTGCTGTACTCATGGAAACACCTGCAGAGGGACACGCGGCTCAGGGTGGAGCCTGCAATCAGTGCCCAAGGCCCTGAGCTTAACCCTCAGCACCAAGGGTAAAAATTTTAAAACCTACCAACGTACAGTAGCGTAAAAGGAGACTGTTTATAAAGGCAACTGTTTTCCAAGACAACAAATCTGATCTCTTTTGGGTGGCAAATGGTAAATTTAAGCATTTAAAAGTTACGCACCAGAATACTGCTGCTATCAAATACTGATGACCTAATTTATTGAACAGGTCAACTGAATGGAAGCCATGTTTCTAGCACCAATAAAAAGAACGGAGACTCCTGACCCCAAGCCTCTCCATGAACACAAGGAACAAATGTGCTGTGAGGAGCATCTGTTGCGTCCCTGATTTTATAACATAGTTCCTGGTCCCGCCCCCAAGCCCCGTATTTCCTTCTTCAGTCAGCATTATTGAATCTTTGCAGCACTAAGGAAGAGCACCTCCTTCCTCAGCTCTGGTTATGAGGTAGATGCCATGTGGAGGTTCACAGGCCCAGGCAGGGCTCTGAAGCCTATGCTGGGAGCTACATGGGGTGGGGCTGAGGGGTGCTACACTCAGCAGTACTCCGGCCTGAGTCTCCACACCCCCTCCCCACTCGACGTCCTGTGAAACATGCACAGGTTCCTCAACAGCTCCCGGAAGACACAGGACTGTGACGTGGACAGCTTGGGCTCAAACTCCTGCAGTAGCTCTCGGGTGCTGGCCTGGCCATCTACGCGGGCCTGGAAAGCAATGAAGTTCCTCATGTCCACTAGCAGCTCATCGTGTTCTGTGGCACAGAGAGGCAGTGCAGACACCTCTGCTGGGTGCCCGTTTTCACTCTCCAAGTGCTCAGGAAGGATCAGGTGGTTTCTCGCTCTCATCCTGGCCAAGAGGGAGGAGGATGTGAGGGCTGCAGAGGAAGAGTCCATGTCCTCAGCTTTTCCACTGAAGTGCTCAGATGTGCGGTCTTTTTCTTCCCTTTTCACCACACCATCCTGCAGAAAAAAAGTGGCAGCACTGATACACTGGATTTCTAGGTTATATACCTACTTAGCTCCCCAGAGGCGATAAAGGGCCCCAAGTTAAAGGTAAAGGGCACAGGGCAGGGGGGACACAGTCAGAGACTATGACACATATCACAGCCCAAGGGAAAGGAGGAGAGCCTGACATCAGAGTCTACCTGCTGTTAATGTTTCCTAACAAAGTAGTGGACCAGAAAGGAGAGCACCTCAGCCACTCCCAGGGCCATGCACCATACTGGAGGCAGATGGAGGGAGGGCACAAGATGATGAAGGAGCAGGGACATCGCCACACTGCCTCTCTTCCTTTCACTCATGTCTGCTCATGCCTTCTACCTTATATCTTACATAAGTTTCCTTACAATGATGGCATGAATCGAACCTGGGGAGTGCTCCAGATTCCTGCTAAAAACACAGAATGTGGCGTCTGAAAGGTTCTATTCCTGAATGTATCCACACTCATTTAAAACTGGGAGTCCCCAAGTTTAAGTATTAACATAACTGTCATCAGATAGAGTGCTGAGTGGAGGCCTGAGGCCCGGTTCACTCTCCCTGAAGCACTGGGGGCAGGCAGAGCACTACAGAGCTAGTGGAGAGGGGAGTTCCACCAGGCAGCTCATCAGGCCAGGGCAACCACATTCGAGGTAGCTTAGAGGGTGAGACTCTGGAGTGGGCAGGCCCCCCAGACTAGGAAGATATAGTCATGGTGGCACACTTGTCCCTGTACCAATAAGTGCAGGGCAAAGATGCTGATTCAGGCCCTGGGTTTTAGAAGTCAGACCTTTTAGATTCCAGGGAAAGCACATCATGAATCAGAGCCCACAATGCAAGCATCAGGTGTCACCACACCAAGAGCAGCCATCTCTTTCACCCTCGGAATCAGATAAAATGAAGTCAAGCATGTCTTGCTTGACTATCCTGTTACCTGGAATTGTTTTGTTGTAGACAACAGAGGACGTTGCACAGAGAGGTTAGAGTTCCTTTTCTGACCAAATCTACTCCTACATAAGGAAAAGAACCACAGCAGACAAAGGTTAGCTTTTGTGATAAGGGACCAAAGTAGTTATTTGCCAACTGAACTCTTCTGGGAAAACGCATCTCTGTGGCTGTTCTTCCAGAGCTGCACAGTTCTAGCACCTCACCCCACCCCGGGCTCCTTCTCCTACTCTGCCAGGGAAACCACTGCTGTGTCTTGTGAAGCAGCCCCTCAGATCCCTGCTTGGTGCATGGAGCAGGCGCCACCACACAGCACAGCCGAGTGACTCCTAAGGACTGCTGAACAGGCTTGCTACTGCTACGCACTAGGTGACCATCCCCTTAAAGTTTAACCATTACTCTGTGGCTGCTACTATTGTAACTACACTGTTTCTCAAACTAAACTGATCACTTCCTCCCCCTCAAGGTCTGCTTTGGAAAGTGAGCTAAAGTGACAGTGGCATGCCCAAGTCACCCAAGCCTGGCTGGCCCGCGTTCCACAGCCGCCCTGGCTGAGCATACGCACTCGCCCTGACGGCAGCCAGCCCCAACTTCTGCTACCCTGCAAGCACAGTGGGGAGGAGCTCTCACTTCACTCTGGCACCGCTGTGGCCAGTCCAGGTGGGAACACCAGACGTAGCACCCAGACACTGCTGACGGGATAGCCGCAGGGCTTTCAGGGCATCCTGTGCCACTCGGTTGGCTTCTGCCTCCACCAGCACGTAGTCTGGGCTGGCACCATCCACGATGGCATCATGCTTCACCACGCTGTGCACGCCCACTGGCAGGGACAAAGGAAGCAGTGTGAGACCACGGGTGCACACATCCTCTCTCCTTTCCTAACAGTCTGTTACCGTGGGAGACAAAAATAAAGACCACACAACTGCTCTTCACAGGGTGTCTGCTGAGACCTGGGAATGTCACGAATGCAGGTTCTATGCACACCACACCTGACAGGGGAGTTATAGTGACCCCTGTTTTAGAATAATCCAAGGGAAGGCTTTCATCACAACCTTAACACTTACCCTTTTCCCTGTCCCTGGGAACAAAAGCAAACACCTCCCACTAACTTTTCTTCTTTCTTTTTTTTCTTTTTTCCAGCTTTAATTTGAGTTTATTGGTACATTTTAGGGATACAGTACAGTTACATTCATTGTTGGGATATTGTACCTCTACATGACAAGTCTTGGTTCTCATTTTTCCCCTTACCCCTGCCCTCCCTTCACCCCCTCCTCCCCTCCCCATCTACAAACACTTTATTTCCATCTTTTCATTATCTCACATTTTTTTCTTTTCCCTTATTACCCTTCCCCTACCCATCCCACCTTCCCTACACCTTTAGCTCCTTTCTTCCCATTTCTAAATGTCAGTAATCTTATTAGGATCTTATGTATTATTGCAGATTATTCACACAAGAGAAACTATTCAGTACCCACTAACTTTTCAATGAAGGCAAAAGTCTAGGCCAGAACTACAGAATTTCTAAAAAACAAAGATCATGAAAACAGCACACAGCAGAATAACTGGGATAAAATTAATGTGGTGATTGGTGGAAAAACCATAGCTTTGAATACTTACATCAATGAAAATGAAAGAATAAAAGTAAGTTAAACTTCCAAGTACAGGTTATAAAACGAACAAATGCTAAATAAAAAAGCCACCAAGGCCTGGAGATTTAACTAACTGGTTCTGCCACCTGCCTTATAAGTAAATGCAAGGACCTGTGTTTCATACCCAGTACAAAAAAAAAAAAAAAAAGGCCACCAAAATTCAACATAAACAAAAGTACCAGGAATAGAATAATAAAGATAAAAGCTAAGATAACAAAATAGAGAACAACCATAGATCTGGTTAGTAAATAAACATCTTGGCTTTTTAAATAAAAACCAAAATAGATAATCCTTTATCTTGTCTTAATCAAAGAAAGAAAAATAAATTTATACAATTATAAATGATGAGGAAATTGTCTTGAAACCAAAGCAAATTTTAAAAATTTTCTAAGAATATTTTATATACATGTAGGTAAACTTGAAAAGTGGACAAGATAGACAAGTGGACAAGATAGCCTGTTTTCTAGGAAAACAGACCAGTAACATAGAAGACACAGAAGAGAGATACCAATGATACACATAAAATAAAAAACTACAAAACAACATCATTTACAGATAACAATAAGAAAATATTAGTGGACTGGGGATTTAGCTCAGTGGTTCCACTGCCTGCCTCAAAAGTGTGAGATCTCAAGTTTGATCCCCTGCACCAAAAAAAAAAAAAAAAAAAAGGGCAAAAAAAAATAGGAGTTATCTAGGAATTCAAGGTTGGTTCAGTATTAAGAAATTCATTATCTAATATTATATTAGCTTCAATATTATCCATAGGTGATATTTCTAAACGAGCATGACACCACTAAGGTAATCCCTCATCCCTATACATAATTCCAAAAACTGAAAATTGATTGATAGTTCCTTAATAAATATATACCTTACATTTAATATCAGAATCTTAATGAATAAAGAGTAGAGGTTATTTCCACTAAGAATGGGAAAGCTAAGATGTCCATTACATCTAATACTTGCTATTTAACATTTAATTGGACACATTAGCTAGTGCAGTAAAAAAAAAAAAATCAATAGGGATATGAATTGTAAAGCAAAAATTATTTTTTGTTTTTTTTTAACCCAAGGCCTCGCTCATGCTAGGGGAGCACTCTACCACTAACCTACACCTCCAACACCCACCCCCCACCTCCACCTTTTTAAAAGTTTAAGTCAAGGCCTGGCTCAGTTGCTCATGCTGGCCTCAAACTTGCAAACCACTGGCTTCAGCCTCCCAGGTAGCTGGGATTACAGGTGTGTGTCACTTCACCCAGCCTTTCTGAAGTTTTAAAATAACAATATGCAGGGCTGGGGATTTAGCTCAGTGGTGCCGCCGCCTGCCTCACAAGCTCAAGGTTCTGAGTTCAATCCCCAGTACCAAATAAATAAATAAATAAAAATATGCCTAGAAACCCTAGAGAATCAACTGTAAAACTTAGTAAGTCAGTGGTGACAAAATAAAATTAACCTACAAAAACCTTACAGCCTTCCTAATCACACACAACAGTCACCTAAAGGGTAAAATGGTGCGAGAGACTCCCTATATAATAACAAGCAATAAAACAGGAATAAACCCAAAAGATTTGCCAACCTTACATGAAGAAACTTTAAAAGACTCTCAGAAGGGCATTTTCTAAGGCCTGAAGAGATGCAAAGATTTCACTTGTTCTTGAGTAGGGAACTCAATAACTACTGCTCTCTCTGTTAACTTACATGGTCAGGACAATCCCAATAAAGACACCAACAACCTTGTCCATGAAGCTAACAGATGAATACAGAGGCTCATATGGAAAAAAGAATGGGCATGAAATCTCTAGGAAAATGCTAAAAAGGCAAAGCTGTGCCCTGATGGAGAGAGTGGGACTCTGATTGCAGGTCTGTGCTGAGGAGGGAAGACAAGGCAGGGACTAACAAGAAAGCACAGGTGCAGGCCCAGATGCTGCCATGCATGGGACGTCACTGTCTGACAGGAGCACTGAAAGCCACTTACAAAACGGATTTAAATACACAACGCTAGCAAAGATGGGGAGCTCTTACTCAAGTGCATCAGAGATCTCAACACAGAAAATAAAAATTTTCCAAGTAGCAGAGAGGAAAACGTGGCGAATTCCTGAATTAGCTAAGAGTAGAAAAGGCTTATATATGACTAAGATTAGTAACAGGTAAGATTGATAAATCTGAATATATTTTTAAAATAACTTTTCCATGGGAAAAAATTACTACAAACAAAACAAATCTAGAGAAAATGTTTACAACATATATGAAAAATAAAATAAATGGGGATATTAGAGTTAATATTCCTAATTTGCAAAGCATTTAAAAAAACTAAGGGGGGAAAAGACCAAAAACCTTACTTAGAAAATGGGCAAAAGATAAACAGACAATTCACATGAAAAAAAGAAAAAAGATACAAATGGCCCTATATGTTACTCAATTTAATTTATTGTAAAATAAATGCAAAATTAACACTAAAATGAGCTAACGTTTACCATTCAGACTGGAAAAAACTACAAATGCAACACACTCTCTTGGCAGTCTCTGGGCACTGAGACTTGTACAAAGCTGGTGACAATTCACTTTGACATCAACATATGGAGAGGAGTTTGGCATTATCTCAAAAACCCCCCAAATTTGCCACTTGTAGGGATTTTCTCTGAAGGTAAACCCCTAACAATACTAAAACATGTAGACACAAGATTATTTATGATTAGAAAAAAACTGAATAATATAAATGTTCAACTGAATAATGAGAAAGCTCTCTAAACAAACATAGAGCAACTGTCAGAATACATGATGTTTTTTTGAAGAAACAGAAGAGGATACAGTGGTCCCTTGGTTCAGGAGCTTAATTTGTCCCACAATTCTGGGGAAGATGGCCACATTCCTGTGCAAGGAAGATGGCAGGGAAGACTGCTGCAGTTGTGTTTGTCACCCCATGCAGAGTTGGCAAATAGAAGCAAAAGTTTGCCAAATGCTTCTGTTTGCAAACCAGACAGAAGAGTTGGTGAACTGAGGTATTACTATATACCGGGAATGTGAAATTATACACACATGCCTGCTTAGTCTGACAAAAAAGAAACCAGGAAGGGAATGCCAAGAACTGATGGGACTGAGGAGAACCATCGGAGGGTGACACTTCTCTGAGCCATCTCTCCTTAGAGTTTTGACTTTTGTAACTATGCTAGTGTGTTACAAATTCACAAAGTAAAATAAAAGTCAACAATGTATATAGAAACAAGTTAAAACTATTTTAAATTGGTAACATAATCATTACCAACTATGAAACAAGAAAGGAGGGATCAAGAAACGTTTGAACATAGTGGTTTGACTTTAAAACTTCAGATGGACTAAAGACAAAAAAAAAAAAAAAAAGTAAAAACAAATTACTGAACTCTAGTTGACTTTTGTAGGTGCCACAATAACTGGGAGCTTGACATCCCTTTGCCATGTCTGGGCTAGCTTCAACTTATTTTCTCTTCATTTTTTTATCACATTTTCCTGCTTCTCTATACACCAGGCACATGTGAATTTGATCTTGCTGGGTATTCACGTTAACCCTGTTAAGGCTCAGATGGGGTGGAAAAAGTGCCAACTCTAAGCTATTACTGCAGCAAGAACCTTCCTGGAATGCTGCCCTGTGCCTGACAACACTGAGGTTGCTGGGCTGGCTGGTGGGCACAGGTAGGGTGGAGCACTGAGTCCTCTGTCCTTCCTCAATCCTGTCTCAGCCCCAGGGAGCTCCCTCACACCAATATGCCATGGGCACATTCTCCTGAGCCTCTGCAGATGGGCAAGGTCCTATGCTGTATTCTTTCATGTGAACTCCTGCCAGCTGGGTCTCTGGATGCTCTACTCTGTGTTCTCACACAGTCTGATTGGGTTCTATCTGGTTCCCCTTTTATGTCACAGCCTGAAACCACTCAAGGTCATTAGGAGAACACAGCAACAGGAAGGTTCAGTTCATATCCCATCTCTCAGAGATCGTTGACTGCCCTTTGTACTTGAGAACCACTGTCTCAAAGATCTTGTCCGCATCTCAGTGGTTCTGAGCATGACAGGAAGTACTATTCCAGCCTTGCTGGAAGCCAAACTCAGGGCTTTACAGACAGGTGTAGGTGTGCATATCTGTACACGGATACACACATGCACACCTATACATGCATCTATTCCTAGCTCTGCAAAGAAGCACTGACATACTACTATCAATGAACCTCTGAGAAGCCAGGTCCTACTTTCTAAATCCAGGGTTTCCTATAGAAGGGACTGATACCAGGGCTGGAAAGGAAAAGTAAGAGTGGAACTTGGGACACCTTTGGTGCTCCCAGAAGTCAGCAGGTATTCAAGGAATAATGATAAAAGACCAAGACAGGAGCAAAATGGAGCTCTTTCCAGGCAAATCTAAGACAACATGGGTACCACAGAAATATTAAGGGACTAGATATGAAACAAAATGTATGAGTCCACATACTGATAGAAAATAAATCTTTTTTTTTTTTTTTT